TGGTCAGCGCTGTTTAGACGCTAGGCTGCGAGGGACAGACAAAGAGACAAACGAAATTAATTGGGGCCATGCGCCGGCGGCGTAATCCAATCGTTTCAGCCTGTCTACAAGCCTTTTACACGAAGTGACCAGGGCAAGAAACTCGAACTAACTTTACGACCGCAACCAATTTGTTTGCAATACGAATTTACAACCTCAACTGATGATGTATGTATTCCTGTAATTTCTTATACATTTTTATTAGAACTTTTGTGGCATTATAACATATTCAGTTTAATAGTTCAAGTGCAAATTATAAGTTAATGTTCAAGCTGCTACATATTTTGAATATAAAAGTATTTTTAAACGAATAATTTTAGAAATATTATCAATAAGTTTGTTTATTGTACAGACTAATGTACTGTAATGCTATGTATTTTATGCAGATAGTTAATAAATATATGGGAGAAATGTGCAGTTTACTACAACCATACTATTAAAATGATACCTAATATATTAAATTAGTTACAAAAATAAAAAAAACCGACTGCGTAAAAAGTGAACTAAAAAGAAGGGAACGAGTCGAACACGTGTATGTACATGTTTTAGAATAGCTGCTTGTGTGTATGTCTCAGACTGCATAATACTATGTTCCAAAGGAGCTCAAAGGAGGGTCATAACCCTCCTTTGAGCTTCGCCGCAATCGGGTAAAAAGAAAAAAATACTTTTTCAAGAAAATCATTTTAGAGCGCCATAATAAAGTGATATAGGTATTTCGTTTAAATCTTACTCTAATTAATCTGTCTATATTTGTAATGTTAAGCAAAACTAATATGCAGCATTTGATTTTATACCAGAATATTGGGTTATCATAATACTGTACATATCGTCAAATTCTGGACAATATCGTGTCGTATACAAATCTTTGGCATCATGGCGAGAGTTTGTCGACATCAATTTACGTACAATGTCAATTTGCACAAGAGAACGTTCGAGTCCGGGACACAGTGCCTCATTAGAGGCGAGCGGTTGCAATTAAACTGGGCGTCTTTTGCGCGTTAACGAACGACCAAATTGGAAGCCGCCCGCCCTCAACACGTGCTGCCACGGAATATTTTTTAACATTTATAATAAATATTTATTATATCTACTATACTTATCGAAATCTTGTGTCTACCATGTACTTCCCTTTAAATAATTACAATTGATGGATGGTTGCTTTAACAGCCTTATTACTTTGGTGATAAAAGGCCGCCTTTATCACGAGCGGGTTTCGGTCGTTACTTTGCCAAGGCGGTGTTTCAGTAAATACAAATAGTTATTTCGTGCCGGGTTTGGCCTTAATTTCAATATGCTCGGAAAGTAGGTTTACTACGCCAATTAAAGTCATTGGACTCTTGACTAATGAGTTTTAATTTTAACCGGACCGCAAATATGTTTTATTTGTTCAAACTAATTTAAAATCAGCACGCTATCGTAGCAAATTGCTTAAATTATATTCTGAAGTGGGGACGTAATTTATTAAAACTTATTTAAATAATGAATTATTATATAGTTTTTATAATTATAGAAACAGCACATTCATCGAGGTCCTAATGAAAGAGAGTGGGTTAATAATATACCGGCAAAGTTTGTTCCGCTAACCACAAGTACACACGTAATATATTTAAATGATAAAAATGATTTATTCACGAAGTTCCACTACAAGTTGCAAATGTGAAGACGGCTAACAATGTGAAAGTGTGCGCGTGGTAAGAAGTTGGTTTACAGGCTCGTTAGCGGCGGCTGATTGCCGATTGAGCAGCAATTGCCTTGATTGACGGAGCCCTAACGAACCCGCTTCAAGAGCTGGACGTGCCTCGACGCTCTGATCTTTTAACTCTTAAATGTTTGACAGGTAAATTTTGTCAATGTTTTTCGCTAAATATTTTTTAGTAAAATTTTTTTTTAAATTTGGTAGATACCAAACAGTGTTTTATGTAAGTATTATTTGTATTATGTAAGTTCGATATCTCTTTTTTAAAATATTTTTTATTAAATCGTGTCTTAATATAATTTAAGAGAATACATAGAAAAAAATTACGGACAAATGCGAGTCGGACTGGCCCACCGAAGGTTCCGCATAAATTTGTAGGAAATCTGTTTAACTTTAATTTTCATTTTTTTTTTATTTTTTGGAATTTTTCCTTTATTTGTGCTGTAAGACCTGCTTTTGAATTACCATATAGGTTTTCGACCCAAAACCGATAGGGTACTTCCGGTTGACGTAGAATTGTCAATTTGTCGCGAAAATCTTGGTCATATCTTTTTATCGTGTAGACTCAGAACCTTGATTTTTATACATCTAATAGGGACTATAGACCTCAGTATCTGTTATAAATTTCAACATGCTAGGTCCTCCCGTTCCTGAGAAAATCGGTTGTGACACACGGACAGACAGACGGACAAGAGAGTGATCTTATAAGGGTTCGCTTTTTTACCTTTTGAGGTACGGAACACTAAAAATAAGCACCATGATTTTTTTGCGGTTTCCACAAAAAAACACAATATTGCCTAAAATAAATAATATGAAGTTGCTTTTTTTCCCTGACTGATTTATTTCCCAGAACTGAGCCTAAAATGCTTTTAAAATAAACATATCACACATACATATACACATACATATAGGTACATATACAATACCATAGTTCACCACTAAGAAAGGGCATTTTGAATAAAAGTATTTCGAAACGTCGGGATTCATAAATCTAAATAAATTCGTGAAAAAATTCGCGTAAATCTAAGAAAGTAAGCTCGGAGCTTAAAGAAAGGATTTTTGAAAGTTAAGTTAAAAACAGTTTGACAAAACCAAAAGAGACTGTTACTTTATAAATGAATTAATCAACCGAATAAATGTTTATTTCCTGTTCCTGTGTGATATTTAAGGTGAAAGTAATTAATCCAATTACATTTAATGCAAAGCATGTTTATTTGAATAACATGTGAAAGGAGCCTCAGGCCAATAGCTAGTTTAAATATTTAAATCACCCGAACTCATTACTTATAAAAGGCTGCTTTAATGTTTCTATGCATTATATCTATTGATAGAAACTATTACTAGGAAGTATAGATGATGGCTAAAATAAAAGTATATTTTAAAACCGTTGTTTTCATGAATAACGAATAGAAACATTAAAACAGAGAATCTAATTTTGTTTGCTATTCGTAGAGGTGCTACGTGCTACGAGTTTTCTGATTGCTGGGTTTTTCAATCGAATAATTTACTTCGATTGATGTAGTTTGAATCTCCATGGACTTCGTTCATTTGTAGGCAGACTGACATAACGTGTAAATAAATATCATACATGTCTGTTTTACTAACATAATATTATTGAATGAATATGGAATGACTTTTTAGTAGAAAGGTAATATAATAATTCATAATAATAGCTCAATATAAAAATATTTTCTAAAATTTTACGATTTTTTTAATTTATGCCTATATCAATAATAATTATTATTACTGTTATGGCATCCTAATATATGAAAATATATTCACCAACCAAGATATTGTGAAATACAAAGAATTAGTGTAATTATATTTATATACAAATGTTTTAGTTAATGTTAATTAAATAAATGATAAATCGTTACAGAAATGAAATCGAGCAAAATGTTTATTTAGCGTTTATGGCGCCTTTAAAGCCTCAGCGGCGTATAGAGATAACAACAACTCAACTAATTTTGCACGTAAACAGTAATCAACAGTATGAAACATCATCAGTGTCGTTGTAGAATGAAGCCGCAATTCATCATATCGGGACAAAAGGCGGTTGATAAACACGGCATTTGTTTGCGTGAGAGAGCGTTAATTTTGTTAAGGAGTCTCAATCAGGGAAGACGTGTAAGTAAAGTCGGCGGGCGGTCGCCGCGGGAGCGATTCGAGCGAATTACCGTACCTGGAGGCGCAGGGGCCGACTCGTTAGTTGTTGTTTGCCGAGTGACGCGGGTCAATCAGCAGAGACATGCACGGAACCGCACTTCTTCATCCCCCTACCCTGCCGCTCGTTAGGCCGCGCCGTCTCTGTCAACTGTGAGACGAGCTTTATCGAATCTACGACGCACGACCCGCGCCGTGGTTGGCCCACTCTTAGCTCTAGTTCGGCTCGAAACCGCCGGTAAACAAATGAAATCAGCGTAAAACAAATTTATATTTCCTCTATAAACGGTAAATAGAAGAAATTCTAAATTATAATGCTTTAATGGATATGACAAATATAAATCAATACAATACTGTACGAATACTGTGAGCACGCATGGAAAATCAGAGCGTAATTATAAAGGCAGACGTGTACCACAGCAGGGTGGTGGACTTAGTTAATTGGGTCGAATTCCTTGCATTTAGCTAATTAACGTTTCGGGCGCCTCGAGGCAGATGCGGTCCACGTGCGAGACAAGCGCGGGACACGGCGCCGAGAGCTTTTTCGATTACACTGATTCTCTACAATCGTATATTGCTGTTTTTTACCCTTTTTATAATGATCATATCGCATTTAGTCATAAATATTATTATTCTACAGATTTAATTTGCAGTTAGAATGCGGTAGGTACAGCTTGACTCGCCATTAATTAGTGACAAAATATACTAAAAACTTTGTTACCGACGTCCTAAATTAGCCCTTTAGGTTTTTTAACGATGCCAATTTAGTCGGCTTTAGAGATTCCAATGCTTGGTTGATGCGCCAAGCTGAGCTTTTTGTCTCTTTCTCAGGTAGAAAATGCAACGGCTCAAAGTATTTTCATAACAATGCGCCTGCGGCTTTCTCAGTTTTTTTTTGAGAGTTCGAAACGTTTGACAGACACGCTATTGTCATCGTTAGGTAATGCTCTAAAAACTCTACCTTTTATGGATAATCAATTTTGATGATCGGTAGAGGTGAATAGAATACCTTTTTATAGAAAGATACTAATTAACGTGCCTAAAATGGGCATGGTTGTGTTTTAAAATATTTAAACAGTTGACATACGATCTTCAAACTTACCTTGTGTAGTCGCTTTTGCACAATATCATTCCTCCTTTGAAATAAAACGAACGGCCCATGTCCGCTAAAGCTTGACCACAACACGTGCATTTTAAACATCCATGATGCCAGTATCTGTCGAGGGCGTGAAGAAGGAACCTTTCTACAATTTTGCCTCCGCATCCTGCACATTCTTTTAGTGCCGGGTTATTATTGTTGTGGGGATAATCGTGTCCATTGGCGGCAAAGGCTGCCTCCGGCGAAGGCGGGTGTGGCGAGCTGAGCTCCGCGTACCCGTGGTAGTGCGGGTTCATGCTCAACGCACTCGCTGCCAGCTTGACGGTTGGAGCGGGAACCGCTCACACCGACCACCACAACTACACGCCCTGCAAACAATAATTTATTTATTAGATCATATATATAAGAATTTTACAATGTTATCTGTATTGTGAATTATCAATTACAGAGATGAGAAATGAAAATTATTTTATTAGTGACCTTGTAAATATTTTAAGTCCTCAACAACCGCATAGGCCCGAGGATTGCTGCATTTAAAAAATTTCCAATTAGCAATTTGATACAATTATGAGCGAGATGGGAGTTTCTGTGGAGCGAGTGCGGGACGCGGAGCGGTGCGTCAACCCGATCCAATTAGCTCGCGGCCAGCGGAGCGGCGGGACGCCCGTGCCGTCTGAGCGCTCCTGTCGCCATAAAACTTAATTAAACGTTTTAAAACAAGTATTCATTAAAGAATAATCAAGCTTATGTAGTCATAAATTACCGGATTGTCCCGCGCGAAACGGGTGCCGTAATTAAGACTGCACAGAGTTGATCAAACGCACTGATTTGAAACTACCCTTCATTAAGAGAACGCGAGGCGAGCGCGAGAGCTTCCGCTGCGGTGCAGAAACTAATTAAGAATAACGGACGCTTTAAAAGCGTAATTAATTTAGATTGTAATTCTATTTCTCTGAGAGTAAAGTAGACAATTATTTCAGTAGCCCTTTCTTTTGGAGCGATTTGCTTTGCTAAATGTAATTTGGTTAATTTTTGTGTCCGACAATGTAAAGGGCTGTAACTGCAGATTGTGTTCTTATTTGTCGCTGTGAGTTGAATGAAACATGAATGTTAGAAGGATTTGACTACCTGTTACAATTATGACTAAAACTGAGAGAAAGAGTTTACATGCAAAGAAAGGCCAGAGCATGTGAAAAGCTATTACTTGTTGTCGTCTATGTCTAATAAAGGCCATAAGGGACAGGCGAACAGGTATAGGTAGCGTGTAGAATGCCCCATGACGAAGTTGCGTGCGTACTAATGAGCGGGCGTCGCGTGCACCTATAAGCACTTCGTTAAATCGCACCCGAACTACACTGATCTACTGGCTACGTTTATTTTTACGTCTTCGTTTGGTTAATTTTGCGAACACGTGTTTTGTAGCACGTAGCACCTTTCAGAGATTGTAATCAGACTTCTCATCCATTAGGTGGATTAACGGTTGATTTATAACCACAATAAAAACTTTAGAATGGAACGTGATTGTACAACAACTATTAACTATTCCAGTTTGTGTCAATGACCTATACGCTCCACTCTAATATCACTTTGACATTGTCATTTTAATATTTATAAAATATTTTCTATTTGCAACATTTGAAAAGGAACAGTTGACACATTAATCAAATTGAAAATATTCATGACTATAAAATTCTTTATAGGTATTTTAAGATCGTATTGTTTTTTATTACGGCAATTTCCATAATTTAATGATTCGTTTGAATTATCTAATACCAATTTGATACACTAAATTATATTATCAAAAATTTAACGCTGTTATGTATTTAGGAGTTTGTTCTAAAATTAAAAGTACTCATGAGTGTTATAAAATTAAAATTCATACACATTACACGTCTACTATTTGCTGCTAAATAAAAATTAATTTTTGGACCATGAAATACCGTTGTGTATAATTACTCAAACTTATGTCTGTTTAAGTCCCATATCGAGTGACTAGGGTGAATGGAAACGCAAGTGTATATTGAACCTTGTATCGTAAGCAATAGAGTAGTAAATCGGTTTTTTATTTTAGATCCGCGTTATGTGGTGCGTGTTTAGGCTGAGGGTGGCCTGGGAACCTGGCAGGTGCCGTTTTCATTATTCAAGCCCCATTGATTGGATACTTTGTTGCCGTTTAAAAATCTTATTACCAACCGCCCAACAACAAAGAGGAACGAGGCAATGAGCCTCCTCGTAGCCCTCTATTTACCTGTTAAGTGATTTTTTTTTCAATTACAGTGATGAACTGCACATTCAAATGTTTAACAAAACTGTTAGTCATCTTGTTAGGTTGTTTATCGTTCGTATTCTTTGGTATGTTGTAACAATGGTTGTAGGAAATCCGATACTTCATTGACAATAAGATGGAGTATTGTGATATTATAACTAAAAATAGTCTACTACTATAAGTAAATGGCTTTAATTTATTTAGATACCCGCAACTATTAGCACAATTTTCTAAAATTTCTCGTAATAAATGTTTGAAGTTAATATCCAGTTTCGGTAAATTAATTATTTTAAACATACAGAAAACTCATAATTTGTAAGCGAGTTAATAATTTTGCAGACAATTTTAATAACAGTAATTACTTACTATTTCTTCTTTCATTAGTTATATATGGATTAATTAAAATTATAATTAAGACGACTAAGTCAAGTAGAGACTTAGTAGAACGTCACTATAAATTATCATAAAGAACTATTCACATGTTATTAGATTGATACAATTTGGACGGGTAATATTTAAATATCATGTTTATTGTGATTTTAATCAATAGAGTTAACGATAAAATTTAATACACAAAATCGGTCACTAACTCCACGAGGTCTCAAGAACAACAACGGGGCCCGTGAATAACGTAATTAAGGCAAAACCGCCGACAAAATTAAACGCGAAAACGGAATGAGAATGTGAGCCTAATTAGAGCTGGGGGGGAAGATGTTGCACCGGCGCCCCCTCTCCCCTTCCCTTACCCCCAAATGGAATGTTCCGCTTAAGGTCTATGACAATGATTGCTAATGTTATATTTATGAGACAAGTATCTGTTTGTTTGTCACTTTCAAAAATTAATATCTTGAGGTATATTCGGAAAGTATTTTAGTCTGTTTATTAGTGATTAAAAAAATACACTTTTAGTTAAAATAATTCCAAGATGAACATAACATTTTTTTACAATGAACTACATGTACTAGTGACTCACCCTTGCTCGGCTCGGGTTCGTCCCTAGAACGTTTTGACGGTTAGTATAGATTTCTCAGAGATGAGATATTTTCCCGTTGTAAAATGTACCCTATACGACTTCGATACCCAGCTATCATTAGACAGACAGAAAGACAGACAAAAATCCTAAAAACTATAGATTTGGCATCTGTCTCGATAATAATGACTATTTCAATAAGATTTTCCAAAAAATATTAATATACAGATTCGACTCTGTTAGAAATTTATTATATGTATAGATAATGTATAGCATTTATATTGAAAGACATTTCGAAATAATATAGTATGCTATTATATTGCAAAACTTTATAATTCGCTAGAGAGAGCGATATCGAGTTCTTACAATCATAAACAAATGTAATATACCAATACATACGTACATACATAATGAGAACAGTACTCGCGGCTAATGTATAATATTATTTGCATATAATGACCGTTAATGGCCCAAGCGCATTATTCATCGGACGTGACCTCAAAATGAACCGTTCGATTTGAGTTTGCCGCGTCCTTTCTATATTTCATATTAAGACGTATGCAATTTTATTAATTCCAAGAATTTTTTTCTTAATTTCGAAATACAAACCGTTAATAAATTATTTTCATTACTTTTGCTTGTGACATAAATATGTAATTCGATATATACATTTTGATTGATTATTATTTATTAGATAACCAGTTCGCATGTAATACTAATGATTCATTTCAGGTCCTATAATCGGTCTAACTTTGAAGTGTAAAAGTATGTAGGTTTTTATTCATTAACAGAAATCATACCTTAGTAATAAAACAAAGTAAATTGACAAAGCAGTAGACTATCTTTCTATTACATTTCATCCGTTTTTGCACATTTAACATAATATCGTTGACGCTAACGCTTAAACCTTCTGCGAATAATCGCCTGTAGATTTGTTCATTTTATTAACCTCAAATAAAATTTTATGAGCAGCACGCGACACGCATGTTAAGTGGATCATTTTACGACAGTAATGGACCAGGATTTGTCATTATTGTCAAACAGGTGTGTCGTGACGAAAAACACGTGTAATGACCAAACAAATGCATTCATTGTCGCCTACGGATCGCTCGCTCTCACCGACTCTCTTAATTAGAGGCGGCCAAGTGGAGCGGCACCGAGCTATGAAAGCCAATCTAGCGAGTTCTCGTAACTCAAATTAGGAATTGTTTTAGAAATTTTTCAATTTTACCCGATAGTTTTGGGTGTAGAATGTAATGTAATCGTCACATTTTTGCTGCAGCTTTGTTTTATATAATAAAAGTCTGTTTCTCTTCTTCTTTACGTTTGACTATTTATTTTATTTATTTACTTTTGGTTTTGAACGCACCTTATGATGCTGAAACAGTCTAATAATCTTTAAAGTCTCATTAAAACAATTTTAACCTAACTTAAAATATGTAATCCGGACGATACTAAATTTATATTATCGAGCTGATCTGATGATGGAGCTCGGGTGGAACTCTATAATGGCTACTAATAAAACCTAATATACCCATGAATATAATAGTCTGGACTTATTTAATTCGCTTTGACGAATCCCGGACCCGGTACTTTACTGTACAGTATTTTTTTTCTATAATAAATATCTTTACAAAAATCATTGCCCAAAGTCCTATTTTATAATTCAATCGTTCCTAAAATTGGCGTTAACAGAAAGTTACCTTAATTTTTTTTATTTATATTGAATTCTCATTCAGTGTACCTGTTATTATTTTGAAACAACAAAATTAGTGTCTATTGATCATAGACACTAATTTTGTTTATAGATTATATCCGAAATTTCATGATCAACAGAGCGATTTAAAATGCCATGACCGCCATAATTGCGCGGGAAAAATAAATCATGTTCATGATCGACTCTTAATATATAATTTTCGACGTATTTAAGAAACGAATTTCATTGTTCAAAGATTTAATCGATCCAAATGTTACATATAAAGTTTGTTAAACAAGAAAACAATCATAATAAATTAATAGATGATAGAAATAATGCTAGTTAAACGTTTCGCATCAAAAAC